CATTTACAGGTTCAGCCTTATTTTTTGCTTTTTTTTCTTTAATTAAGCTTATGAATGCAAGTCATACATTGTTGGATTTATTAGAGCATGTAGTTCGTTTACTGTTTTCATATCTTTCGAGCACTTTGCTTCATTTTTAGGGAGTTTCAATCTTTCATTTGTCTTGGTATTTCATCTCCAAATAGAGCATAAATGATACAATCCTTGCCATGAGCTACACATTAAAGGAGTGAGAAGTTGTTGTAATGATTTCGGTTCATCCCTATTATGTATGAGCATGGTTATATTTGTCTAAATCTCCTGGTATCAGATTAATGAAGTTGGAATCCAGTAAAAGTATTTTTTATTTTTTATTTTCGTCAAATGGTATTTTAAAAGTTGAACCCATTGCTTCCAACTATTCAAGACTTACCTTGGTTTTGACTTTTATTAACCAGTTGAGATGTGATTTTGGTTAGGTATTATGGCATTTGATCCTTAATTTCTTTCTCTTTTAAAGATAGAATGAAATGTTTTTCTCTAAATTTAAACAAATCTGTTTGGTTTCAGTTGATGGCTTCTCAAATTTTCATCCATATATATTTACAATAATGTTGCTCAAATAAACGACCAAAAGGTTTGTTATATGTGGACATTTTTGTTTTTCATTGTTATGGTTTGGCATATAAGTGCAAGTATTCCCCAGCGTTTTCTTTGACACCACTTCAATTATCTCTTCAATTTTGATTTTATTTAATTACCATTCTGGATGTAATTTATATTGTATGCTTTTTTCGGGGGGATTCTTCATCATTCTTATAGAGTTGCGGTCATGGTGTGTGGTGTCCTCTGTGCAAATAGGTTCACATCTAAGCTCTTAACCAACACATTTTTAGCATTTTGATTTCTTTTTCTTTGTTATGAATTTCAGATTCAAGAAGGGTGAAAGCTTTGACTCGAGTGAGTGGCAGCGACGACATGAAGCTAAGAAGAAGCCTGTAGTGGCCACATAAATCAAGCTCAAAGGAAACCCTCCCAATTTCTCCTTTATGTGTTGACTATGTCTATTTATAAAAATTCTCGAAATCGTTTACATTGCATATATGAGGTCATGATAGTTAATATGGAGTAAGTCTTTAATTTGTTCTTTTCGGCTCTATGATTTCTTTTTGTACGCTTAAGGATTATAAAATCTTTATCATACATAAGGTCTGCTATTGAGTTTTTTTGTAGTATCAATTAATTGTATATGGATATGGATATAGAAGAATTATTAATTACTTTGTTTTTACCTATGCTACATATAATATTGTATTCTCTATGTTCATGAATTTTTTTTCCATTCCCAGCAAGACACAAATATCACATTTTTTTAAATTATCTTATTTATAAATTGATATAGAAATAAAAATAGTACGTACAAATTACATATTTAGAAATACTTAAAAATTTTTATAAAATAAGATATGAAAAGAATATTTTATTTTATCAAATTGTTAACATATATATATATATATATATATATATATATATATATATATATATATATATATATGTCGGTTCTTGTGAGAATGAACTTTGGTGAAAGAAATAAGAATAAATAGAAGTCATATGATATGATGAAACAGACGTCTTGGATGCATCTGTGATGTTGAATTCTATATTGGTAAGTTATACTCCCTTCGTTCTTAAAACCCTTCCTCTTTCATTTTTTGTTTTTCTTAAAACACTTCCTCTTTTTATTAAAAAATCACTTTTACCCCTACTTTTTCATACCCTACCTATCAAATCATGCTTTTTTCACTAACAACTAAATTATCACTTCTTACTTTTACCCATCATATCAAGGGCAAAATTAGAAAGTCAACTACAATTTAACACTTCCTTATTTTCCCCCAAAGTTAAAAGAGGAACTCTTTTGAAAAACGGACGTAGTATAATTATGGTCATTGAATATGGATAGATTGTATAATAGGGGTAAATTTTTTTTTATAATAGGGGTAAATTAGGAACACAAATACTCCATTATCCCACGCGTGAGTTGATCAGTTCAATACCACATCAGCTTATAAGTTTCTCTTCCCCTTCTTTTCCTTTTTAGAAAAACTAGTATTTCTACCCGTGCCATGCACGGGTTCAGACGGAATTTTTTTCTATTCTATAATGTGGATCTTGATTTTTATTTGACATATTACTTAAAGGTCAAATATAAACGATCTAGGTTTGATGTATTTTTACAAATTTATAATTTTTATTCCAGTATAAATTCAAAAATATATTAATACAAAAGTATTAGTGATCCAGTTATTTTTTTTCCTCACATTAATTTAAAAAACCTAAATTACCGACCTTATGATTATATACTTCTTCTGTCCTTGAGTATTTGTCAACTTTTTACTTTTTTTTGTCAAAATTAGTAAATTTTGACCTCAAATTAAATAAAAACGATATTAGATATTAATACAAAATTAGTTTTATTAGATTTATTATATCATCAATTTTCAAAATATTTTTTATGTACTTAATGTATAATATATATTTTATTTAATTCTAAGTCAAATATTGAAAACAATTAGTCGGAAAAAGTCAAAATTGAACAAATACTCAGAGATTGAGGTAGTAATTAAAAAATNCCCCCCCCCCCCCCACACTAGGGATGTAAACAAATCAAATACTTTTAGTTCGATTCGTAATTTGTATTCGAATATAATGATTCGAATTCGCATTATTCAAATACAAATTCAAATTCAAATATCAATTTTGATTCAAATATTAAACAAATACAAATACGAATAGGAGTATATTCGATTCGGGTGATATTCGAAAATTCGAATATATGTATATATACACACAAACCATGTCTCAAGATCAATATAGTCAAGTAAAATAATATAGATAGATTATTAAAAATTCAACAAATTAACGTAACACCAAAATCTAAAGCATATAATTTTTAATAGTTATATTTTATAAAATATAATTTGTGTGATGTGAAAGTGTATTAATGTTTTTAGATAAAGTATAAGAAATATTGTAAGTTATATTATTCAAAATCTATGTTGGTCTATCATATAAATTACGCAGTATGATTATTAAAGTATTCGTTTAGAATTCGTCAAGTATTCGAATATTAATCAAATACAAATTCAAATCTTATTTGTAATTCGTCTCATATTCAGATTCGTTTTCGTATTCGAAAAAATTAAGCAAATACAAATTCAAATATCTTGATATTCGCTTCGATTCGGTTCGTTTACACCCCTACCCCACATAATGATTATAAAAAGTTATTATTCATTCTTGCATTATTAAAAAACAAAATCTTAAATTAGTGATCGTAAATCTCTATGATTAAAAATTTAATTTTAAAATATTAAGAATCAATAATAATTCCCCCCCCACATACTTACGTACGTACGTACGTATGTACATACATACATACATACAATCAACACACATGTTTCTTTGTTCCGCGAAGATAGACTTCTACTCCATTTTGGTATCTCTTACAAGTTAACTTTCATTTCTAGAATTCCAAGATATGAGTATATGACTTATTCCTTATACAAGAAAAAGTGAGAAATGTATATGAGTTAATATTTCCAACTAACTAATAGCTTTTTCTTAACTTAAAAAAACAATTAATTATAACTAATATGTCTGCAAATCAAAAAAAATGATATAGATGAATGCAGTACACACAATTACCTCAAGTAATCCAAAAGTTAATTATTCTTAAAACTCTAGAAATAATATAATATACTCTCTGAGAAAGTCGTCATTGGAGGTGACTTCAAAGGCCAAAGAGAAGTAACCGAACAATTTCAATTAAAACACACACATTTCTACGGAATGTGTGTGATGGGAAATAAGAATATTCACATTGCAAACAGTGAATGGAGAGGAGCGGTTCTGCAAGAATCGTACCTTCTGCTGCTTTGAGCCAAGACGTCATGACTAGAAAAGCTTGAATTAGCAAACCCTACAAATCACTAACCATAAATTGAGGGGCGAACAATTTCTGCAGCGGAAGATAAATACTATGATACAGCACAAGGGAGAGCCACACCCTAAAAGCTAGCTGATAAGGTGGGAGAACCCTTGGCTATATAAACTCATCACCAAGTTCCCCACATAACCGGTGTAGGACAATGAAATCCGTCCGTATCATTTGACCCCCCATAAGGCCCATTGTCCTCGTTGGTCACGGCTACGTTGGTCACGGCCACGTTGGTCACGGCTTGTTTCACCAGGCCACCACTCCGTGGGCCACCACTTCGTAGGCCACCACTCCGAGTTGGCTCTGATACCATTGATACAGCACAAGGGAGAGCCACACCCTAAAAGCTACTTTCATACTCACAAAAAAAGGCAAGAGTTTTAAAAAAAATTAAATAAATAAAAATAAAATTAAATTGTGTGGTGGAGAAAGAGGTAGGGGACAAATGGGGTACACCTTTGGTGTAATCCTAGCATTGCTCTTCCATTCAACTTCAATAAAAAATATACTTCGTAATCTATAATAGTTTTAAAATGAGAATTTAAATATGAGTATAATCTATAATAAATGAGAATTTAAAATGAGAATTTAAAATGAGTATAATAAATTTGTAAAATTTGTGATCATTCTGTTTGAAACCTAACATTAGTCTTTGCTTTTAACTTACCATTATGACTTTTGCTATTCATCAAAAGTTGAATAAATGCACCCAAAAAGAAACTACGGAGTATAAGGCCAAACAAAGTGGTAATAGCATGGGTTCGGCTTCGGATTTAAATCGAATATGAATTATTTAGTTCGGTTTCGGTTCGATTCGGATCATTTCGGGGTGCCACTGCAACTTCATGACACTCAGCATAAAGAAAGAAAGAAAAAGAAATGCACACTTTATCCGGGTGGGGTAAAAATTTTGCAACTCAAAGAACAGAGCTACTGTTGTTATACAGAGGATTAAAGAAAAAGAAGAACAAAAAAGGGTCCCTTATTCTAAAAATGCTTCAACAAATCTAACCTAAAAGTCCAAAAATACATTCTTTTGTTCTGGCTGATAGGGAGGAGACATATGTTTAACTAGTTGAGTTATACCCCACACCGATTATGGAAAAAAACGGGACTTCATTAGTAAAGTCGACCTCTGCAACTGGAAGATCCACAGAGACATGGAAACCCTTTTTCTTCTCCGGAGAACGGTTTGTAGCGATAGTCAAAAGTCAGTTCTTCACCTGCAAGTATCTGCATATAGAGCAGTTGAGTGGGGTTATTCTGGTTAAAAAAGAACATACATGACCAGTTGGTTATAAAGAACATACATGACCAGTATAATGAAGCTTTCGGCGAGCAGTTACGAGCACCAATGTTATAAATAAAAACAATGATCATTGTCACACCCCATAGCATATTGTAAAAAATCTATAAGTGAACTGAATGGCTAATCTTCTCACCCATGATGCATCTGGGTTATGCTTGTACACTTAGCATATATGCATTTGAATAGAACAATTGATACTATATCAAGTACTGACCACTAATGCCTGAAGATGTTTTAATGTGCTATTTCTAAACACAGTGTGTCAAAAGAAAAAATTGCATAGACTAATTAAACAAATTACCAACCATCTGTTGCTGCATTTGTATGGTGTTGAGAGTCCATAGGTGGTCAGTAGCAGCAAATATCATTGGCAGCAGAGGTTTGTTCCAAGAAACAAATCAGCAGACATCCATATCTTCCAAATACCAACAGCATCAAATCAGCATTGTAAGCCCTTGGCAACGGCATGGCCTTATTCAGTAGAATCAGGGTCTTCATCCAATATCAACATCTTTCTAAGAATTCCATTAGTCACACTCATCAATCTCTTTCCATTTAGTGACAAAACTGATCGCAAAACTTCAAAAAAAAACAGCCAACTCTTCCTTATAAGCATCGAACAACCAGTAGAGAAAAAAATTACTTTAATATGGTTCTTAGTTTGTTGTCCCTTTTTTTCTTTATTTATTCTTCTTCCCCTTTTCCTTTTTCATGGGGTACATGTTTGGCGCGGGGTGGTTGTTGGGTTTGGGGTCTGAATCGACAACCAGTTGGTGTAGCTAAAAAAAACTAAGCAACATATTAAAGCCTCTGTTATGTATAATCCTTGCAGAATATTTCCCTAGAAACTCTGCATTTGGCAAAAAAAGGCATTAACAAAACTGGGTTCTTTGTTCAGAAGCTTTTTGGCCATGAGAAGATTCAAAACCTGGTACCTGGGAAACACTCTCTCTTCCATGCTGAATATCAACACCGAAGGCCGAGTCAGCATAAAATTAAGAAATTTTTTTAAAGGTGAATTTGTTTATTGAATGCAGGCTTTTGGAGGTGATGATTCAGATGTTGACTCTCCAAGGAACAATGAAGTGCTTGGAATTGCGTTTAAGCCTACTGGAAACTCTCAGCTTGTTGCAGATATTAGTGTTTTATTTAGTAAAAAGCTAGACCGGCATAAGAAGACAACTGAAAGTGGGATAGCTACTCCTTTTTAATCACCAAGTAATGGATCTTAGCGGACTATGGGTGAAGTACTTTCTCTATGCCGTGACCTCTCTACTGTGCAGACAAGGACTCCATCAATGGAGTCAGTTGGTTCTTCTGGAGAGGAAGAGTAGGCTCTCTCTCTCCATCTCTACCTGTGTGTGTATTAATTATTAAATTTCACTCAATTTTTTTTAATTTGAACAGTCTTATTTGACCCAAAACATTAATGGGCATTATCGAAGCATCTAACAGAACGAGATTGTGTTTTATTATTTTACTTGTCATCTAACTCAAACCCGAGCCTCAACTATCCTCGGAAGTCCTCAGAAGTGATGGTGACTTCCTAAACATTGACTGGTCGTATATGTTCTTCTTAACATTGTATCAAAGTAACAATCCTATATGTCCATTACATTAACAGTCGTATGTGTTCTTTTCAACCTTGCATTCCATTCTTGATTATTTAAGGGATTATTACATTGTAAGCTAATTGGCATATTAAACTTTCTTTCTTCAAGTGGCGTCTAGGGGGGAGACCCAAAATAACAAAAAAAACCTACTAGCACACAAATTAAGTTTCATCTTTCTTTATAAATTAAAGGTAAAGGAAGAATAATAAGAAATGAACAATAAAGAAACAGGTAAATTGGTCTATAGGTTTGGTGGTGTGTTTATTCTCCCTCTTTTTTCTTTTTTTCTTCTTCTTCCCTTTTGATGGAGTACATTTTTGGGGTGGGGGTGGCTGTTGTGGTTTGAGGTCTTAATCGGCAACCACTAGTTGCCATACCTAAAAAAATAAACAACATATTTAAGCCTTTGTCATGTCTAATCATTTGAATGGAGACTAAAAGAGGAATTATATTATAAGGCTAGTAAGACACAAATGAAAGGATATATGGAATCAAGACTAAAAGTCTCAAGAGCCAGTAGTGACAATTTGACCTAAGACACAAATGAAAGGATATATGGAATCATTACTAACCATTGAACTAGGTGTACAAGAAATAAAATCACTAATTTACACACAAAAATGGCATAAAAACATACTAATGTCTCTAGAAGTAAGAAGACAAGTTAATTTCAAGGTACTAACATCAATATATATATATTAGGGTGGTAACTTGTAAGTGCACAATAGTGCATCCCTTGAAAATATGAATAAAGGTCCAATGTAATGTCATAGCTCAAAGGTCTAAGATTTTAAAAAAGTTAGCTTTTACAAATCTAGATATCTCCTGTACCTATGAGAGTTTAAATGTCATTAATCACAACTGAGAATGTTTTAGATTGTTATTTTTACAAATGATAGGTAAACAATTTAAAAAAAAACCTTCATGATATCACAGAACCAAGTATTTTTTTGAGAGCACAGAACTAACTATTTGAGGTATCATTAGACTAGCCATTTGATGTTCAATTCTAAACCTTCATTATACTGCTCATGTATGTTCTTTTTAACCAAAATCAAGAGTAGTATTTAACAAAAAACAAAAAAAAAATACAGAGATATTTGGGCACAACATATGACATCACAGATACTTTTTTTATACTAAATCATGCTGCAAATCAAACTCAAAATGACAAATTGACATTTTTAAAACAAGAAAATTACACTCTGGAACACAATTACTCGTAGACTCATAAGAATTGCATTTTCGCACCAAAAAAATAAGTAGAATAAAACCTGAAAAATAAAGCCAGAAGGTAAAGAGAGGAGCACCAATCTAGGGGCTAGGGCTAATGGAAAATTAGAAGAAAAAAACCTGGGAGATTGATTCCTAATTTTGGAGATGAGATCCGACCTAGGGACGACAGAGGAAGGTCGGCAGGGGGCTTCTGATTCCGGCAAAGAGAACGCTGGAGATGGAGAGGATGTTGGAGGGAGACGGCGATGCAGAAACGAAGAGATGTTGGAGACGGCGCAGAAGTTAACGGAGATGGGAGAAACGGTAGATCCAAAGAAATAATAATTGAATTTTAGACCTGGGCCTTATTGTAATAAACAAAAAATATATTAAATGATGTGGAATAGGCTACACGTGTCATCCTATCATTGCTCCATGCATTGAGGGCACCAAAACCCTCATTTTACAAATGGCACCAAAGGAAAAGCCTCTAGAGGCCTCTTCTGTCCACGCCGAATACGGGCTTCCATATCTTGCAGTTCTTGATTTAAGGTGGCACACTCGACCAGTCGACCTGATGATGGATGAATATTATACTATCACAAATGTATATGAATTACAAAAGTTAGGAAAACTAAGAAAGCAAGAGTAAACAACATTAATTAGAAGTCAAACTTAGCCAAAATACCAAAATATGAGTGACATAGTTTCATTCTCTAAATAGGAGTGTGATGATAGTATGGTGACAGTGTGATAACTGTGCGGATAGAAAAATAAAGAAAAAAAACAAAAAGACCACAAGTAGACTGCCGGTCGACAGTGATCAATGGTGGGGTCAACGGTGCCTCCGGTGTTCTGGCGACCTCACGGTGTGGCGTCGGCATATGGCAGTTTGACGGTGGTCGGCAATGGCAGTGTGGACTCCTATTTAAGTCTTAAAAGACCAGCACTCTTATTTTGGTATTTTCATACTTTTTTACTCGTATTTAGGGAGTTTTCCCTAATTAAACATGGTACAAACCCTGAGAACCATCATATATATGTTTTTAATTGAAGCACTGGTAGTAATTGATTAAGCAGTAATAGTAATACAACAACAACAACAACAACGGACCCAGTAAAATCCCACATAGTGGAGTTTGGAGAGGGTGTATGTACCACACACACATTACCCGTATTCAAAAAGTAGAGAGGCGGTTTCCACAAGACCCACAGCTCAAAACATAGGATCACAACGACAAAGGAAGTAGCAAGAACAATAGCATAGAAGGTGTTTCTTCTTATCGGGTCATTCTTAAACATTTTAGGAAGGAAGAAAGATATTTTAAACAAAATAAAGAGCTTTGAGTGAATAGATGTTTCAAATAAGGTAAAACAAATTTAATAAACGCGTAAAAGAAAGAATTTTTCAAGGATGTTTCTGCCTTCAATAAAAAGACAACCTGTAAGGCATATGTGAGAGTTAGATTGAAAACTACTTTTATCTCTTATGGGAGTGAACATGTGAGCATATCACCATACCTCAAGCAGTGCTACTTTTTGCTCAAGTTCTGCTGCCTTTGCCATCCTTTCATCTGCTGTTCTCTAAAGATAAACAACAAAAGGTGTTATATATTTTGACTGATAAAGTTTAACTTTTCGATACAGCTATCAGGGAGTACGATTAGGGGAAACTCAGATAAAACTAACAACTACAAACTCAAAAAGCCTATGCATATTTGAAAACTTGTTGCTTTTTATTTGGAGAGCTTGGTGGGGTGTGTCATGTGTGGATGGGCAAACTGAGAAAACTTCGTGAAAATAAATACGGAGTATTGAACAAAGTCAAACCAGTGATGGGAGCACAAAAGAAAGTATTTGTCAACTTGAAAGGACAGAGTGGATCCAATCCCATTAACACAAAACACAAATAAACTGGCCACAAATGCCAATAAATGCTCAAACATGCTCCCTCCCTAACCATAGGTAAACTGACAGTCTGGATCATTTTTTCCAAGAACTTTCAAAGGATCCAAAGTTAAAGAAGCAGTGTATGTGGTGTGTGTAAAACATTATGACTAGTGCAGCAAAGACCTCCAATCAAAATCTACTAGTGGATCAAACTTGAGAATTAATATCAGCATTCAGCAAAGTGTCTGTTTAAACATCTGAAAAGTACCTGGGCCTGGCCAATGCAGTGGAGGCCTCAAGAGCACGGTGTTCAAGTTCAACCTCCCTTTCCATAGCAGCCTGATACAGAATTAACAAATAACTAAAATAAGAAACCATCCATTTCAGATCCAGCACTACCAATGTGATAGGATAGTTGAGGACAATAAAGGGTCTGGAAAATGAAGGTGAATGTTCAAAAAAAAACACAATTAGGTGCCGAAGAACCCATTTCAAAGGATTTGTGTTTCTAGTCCAGCAAACTGAGAAAACATAAACTCCAAACACCAGATAAAAATATTTATTATAAAAATAATAGAAATTGCTTTAAGACAGGTGAAAGACTCCGAGTTCTAACCATCTTAGTAGCATTATGTGCTGCCTGCTCCTCTTCAGCTCTTCGTTCTGCAACAGCCAACTCCTCCCTTATAGCCTAACAATTTTTTTTTCACAATTAGAGTAAGTTCTAAAAAACTACTGACCCCAACATAGTTGAGATTAAGGCCTTAAGGTGATAATGATGATGAGAGTTATAAGTTTGAGAGCTTGGAAGAAGTGAATTGGCGCTACAGTATAGAGAGACCAGCTTACTTGCATCATCCTAGTCTCGGTCAATTCCCTATTTCTCCTAATAGCCTCCATATTTGCCTGGCAAGGTAGAAATCAGCATGTCAAAGAGAGAAAACTGTTAGGACTATACATCTCAGAGCAAAAATAAATAGTATCTAGCTAGTTATTACAATTACAACAACAACCCAGTTGAATCCCACAAAAGCAAGGTAACTAGTCAGTTGTTCAGTTCATTATTTAACTTATCAAAAATGAGAGGAAATCAACCTGCAAAGATGCAAGATTACCCTCTGATAAAGCAGCTTGCTTCTTTAATGCCTCCATAGAACTAGCAAGGGCCTCAATTTCAGCATTCTTAGCAGAAAGTGCCGCCGTCATACTAGACTCCACTTTTGACACCTCATTTTTTGCTGCAGATAGATCTTTCTGAAGCTGCTTCAGGCGAGCCTCATACGATTTACTCAACTCCCTCTGTTATAATACAATGCTGTCAAACTTAATAGAATAGAACATATTGATGCAAGTCAAATAAATACCGAGGTACTGCCCTCTGCACTCAAGTGATGTTAAAACTTTACCTCGACAAAAAGAAGCTCTTCTAACTGAGCATTTTCAGATTTGTACTCCTAAAGGCGTGATGAAAGCCCAGCACATACCTGATTATAATTAACATGATGAATTTCAGTAATGGCTAAAATGCACTTTTCTGTGAATGGAACTCATAAATTTCTTAACAGATTAATAGGATCACACCCCATGAGAAAGGTGAGAAAGATTCTGCACCATTTATATTGTACTCCCTCCGTCCCCCTGTATTTGTCCACTTTCATTTTTACACACCATCCAATGCACTTCTTTAATCCATTTTATCTTGTAATTTGTATATTAAAAAATTATAAAAATTATATATTAATAATCTATATGTTTAGACAAATCAAACAAGACTATATTTAGGCTTACACATTGAGAGAATTCGATGAGTCAAAGTGCTTCGATGAACAGTTCCAAAAGTCAAATGTGGACAAAAACAGGGGGGACGGAGGGAGTAATACATTTCTTTAGTACGTAGTATTAGTTTATAATCATTCACAACAGTTTTTCTTTCTGCTCTGAAATGATAAAGCAAACTTAATTCAGTCATACAATATTGTCATTCTTAGATACTAACTACTAAGCAACAATTTAGTTGTTCTATAATCAACAAGTCAACAACCCATATTGGTCCTAAAAATGGGGTTTAGGAAGAGTAGGTGTACACAGGCCCTACCCTACCGATAAAAGTGGAGAGGTTTATGAAAGACCTTTCGCTCAAGAAAACATAAAAAGGTAGGTTATAACAAAAAAAATAAAGATGAACAGTAGGGTAAAAGATTGTGATATACGTAGTATGCATTTGCATTTTGAATCATCTGAAGTTTCTATTTTCTCCAAAAGATAATATTAACATAACCGTGCAAATGAGTAAATAGTACTCCCTCCATCCTGAAATAAGGTTCCACAACTGAACGGGCACGGTCACTAAGATAGGTGAAGTTTTGTATAGAGAAGAGAAGTTGTAAGAGTCACGCATTTCATTCTTCAAAATGAAAGTCGAACCTTTTTCGGGACAAACAAAAAAAGAAATGTGGAAAAAAATTATGTAATACTGTTGCATGATGAAATACCCGAGCCAAACGTGCCTCTTTGACTGACCAGTAGAACTTGTATTTTTAAGCAAGCATTGAGCCTGAATTAATACAGAAATATTTCTAAAATGTCCACGTGACAAAGACAAAAAACACCCACAGCTAATATTATTGTATCCTTTACCTCGTTGAGTTGGTCTTCCACTTAACTGGAAGTGGTATTACTTTTTTGAACTGGAAGCTTGTTTAGGTCTGACCCTTTTTCAGCCAAGGTACTACTATCCTCTATCCGCTTATCATCTTTAACAAGATAATCTCCACTTACAGATTGATGTCCTCCATGCTCATTGTTCTCAGGTGATTCTGCATCATCAAGGACAGTGGAGTGGCTTGGCTCAACTGGTCCAACATTGTGTAAGGTATTATCATTGACGACACTAGAAGCATTTTGTGGAAGAGTGCCTTCATGAACTTCTAATATATTTTCATGTGTATGATTATGATTTGATCTCAAGGGTATATTTTTTACATCACTTCCACCTGCTTCTGCTTCCATGTTATAAACACTACTCGTAGCATTATTGGAGATCGTTTCAAATACAGGAGCATCCAATGAAGTATCAAATGTATCCACATCTTGGTTCTCTTTATTGGTAGCTTTGTCACTAAAACTGTCTGGACGTGTCTGACTATTTTCAACAAGCAGAATGGCATTATCTCTATCTTTATCCATATCTGACTCTGGCATTTCTTTGTAAGTTTGTTTTCTTTCAATATCAAGTGCATCAGATGTTTCATGGGAGGAAACTCGCTTTTGAGGCTGCACAGAATCTTATTTTCAGCCTTATCATGAAGACAAAAATGTTGATAATATTGACTGAAAGAACAGTACAATATAACATAACACTGAAATGACTGATAAGTGATAACTACCTTCTTTTTTGGCTTTGATCTCTTTGGTTGAGATCCTTGTCCATTGGGAGCTACGTAGTTGGACCATAAAAAGAAATGAATAGAAGAATCAGTCAAAGACAAAAAAGAATTAGCAATGCAGTACACACACCCTAGGCTGCTGCTAATGCGGAGATTTTTTTCTATGAATAAAGTATTTATTCTTTACATATGGCAAGATGACAAGATCTAGTCCTTATTGTGTGGGCTCGGATAACATTAATGAACTCATTGATTATCATTATCAACACCTTAATCCCAACTAGTTGGGGTGCATTAAATTTAGTCAATTAACTAATTAACACTATAGAACAGCAATTGTTAGATTTAATCGGGTTTGTTCACATATAACCGAATAGGTAATGAGTCAATGTTCGGGTCAGTTAGTATAGAGTCAATTAGTGTGGTGTCGTTTAGTGTGTTTTACATATTTAATTAATTTAAATAAAAAAACAGCAGTTTCTAAAAGGGGCAGTTATGGGTAGTTATTTTCTGGAAGTTGTATTAGTTAGTAATAGATGTGTTGATTAGTGTCAATAGTTGTGTTGGTTGATGTCAATAAATATTCCAGGAACATAGCATTCCTGTATGTAATTCACAATCAATAAAAATCAGAATTTTATTCTGCATTTGATTTGTTCTTTCTATTATTTTCCTACAATTGGTATCAGAGCTTGTGCGATCAGCGGCAATAAAAGGGAGATCTGCCTTGACAACAGATCAAAATCTTTGACAAGATTCTTCCTCGCCTAGGACAAGAATAGCAAGTGGCTATTTTTTCCCTTGGCAGAAGCATTTCAACCAAACAGTCCGGGAAAAACGAATCAGCGGGGTGGCTTTCGTTTAGTGGCTTGGAAGACGGAAAAGTAGGGGCTTGTCTTCTGGTTGATGGTCGATTGCAGGTGGCTTATGACCTAGGAAGGAATCAAAGTCTAAGAATTTTGTGAAAATTGTCATAGGAATTAAAGTCGTGCAATGGAAGACAATAGGCAGATTGTGACTACAAGGGAGAATAGTTCACTATCTTTTATGGTTCCAATTCTAAGTGCTACAAACTACACTATTTGGGCTGTGAAGATCAAAGCAATTTTTAATGTTAATGGGATTTGGGAGGTGATCGAACCAGGAACAGAAATTGATCCAAAGAAGAACAATATGGCAATAGCATATTTGTTTCAAGCTTTGCCGGAAGAGATCGTGTTACAAGTTGCCCAGTTTACTGAAGCAAAAGAAATTTGGGATGCTTTGAAGACTCGCTTTGTTGGTGTTGACAGGGTTAAAACGGCGCGATTACAGACACTTGAATCAGATTTTGAGAATCTAAAGATGAAGAACAACGAATCACTTGATGATTTTGCTGGTCAAATTAGTCAACTTGCAACACAAGCAAACAACCTTGGGTCTGCATTTGAAGACAAAAGATTGGTTCGAAAGCTTTTGGGTTCTGTACCTGAAAAGTTCATGCAGATCGTTGCTGCAATTGAACAGTTTGCTGACATTAACACAATGCTGTTTCAAGAAGCGGTTGGAAGATTGAAAGCATTCGAGGAACGCATCAAAAAGCCAACTGAGGAAGGAGATGCGCACGGTAAACTACTCTTCACTAAAGGTGATGGAAAAGAGAAGGTTCAGGAGCACAAATGTGAGCATTGTGGTTGCTGGAGCTTAAACCGAGAAGACTTTGGACGTGGCCGAGGTAGAGGTCAGGGGTCCGGGAAAGGTCAGGATGGTGGTCGGTTTAAGCGGGATAAGAGTCACGTTAGGTGCTTCAAGTGCAATGAGTTAAGGCATTTTCTGAACGAATGTCCAAAATGGGATCAAAAGGAACAGATTGCAAATTTGATTGAAGATGACGAACCAACGTTGCTGTGATGATCAGTGTGAACAAACAACGATTAAGGGCGTGATTGTTAGATTTAATCGGGTTTGTTCACATATAACCGAATAGGTAATGAGTCAATGTTCGGGTCAGTTAGTATAGAGTCAATTAGTGTGGTGTCGTTTAGTGTGTTTTACATATTTAATTAATTTAAATAAAAAAACAGCAGTTTCTAAAAGGGGCAGTTATGGGTAGTTATTCTGGAAGTTGTATTAGTTAGTAATAGATGTGTTGATTAGTGTCAATAGTTGTGTTGGTTGATGTCAATAAATATTCCAGGAACATAGCATTCCTGTATGTAATTCACAATCAATAAAAATCAGAATTTTATTCTGCATTTGATTTGTTCTTTCTATTATTTTCCTACAGCAACAACAACAAGGTCCCACAAGTGGAGTGTGGAGATGATGGAAGCTTGTGTAATGAGATATAGATTATAGAATGTGAAAAACAATCATTTATTCAACAATAATAACTTCTATTGACTTTTATAATAATTCAGTTCTTGAACCCAAATGCTTGGAAAATTTTCACTTAGGTCGAAACTATGTCCATTTCTTCGTATGATCAGGAATTCATATAGTTTATGATCAGGAATTCATATAGTTAACTCGTTATTAGCGTTTTTTTTCAACAAAAAAAAACTTAATCATTTAAATTTTCCAGTCATTTAATTAAAATTATGATTTTCATGATTTAAAATTTATAACATGTAATCCTAGTAGGACGGTATTTGGACTAAAACCAATATATTATGTAAATGACTAGTAATTTTTCCAATACATATCATAATTCATGAAGTGCTATAAGATTCACATTGCAAAAACCCAGATATGCCCGGAGAGACTATTTAGTCATCTCTATATGAGTTCCAAATTTCTAATGTAGAAATCAGTTAAATTCCTCTTAGAAGCAGCACTAATAAATTTAGAAATCAAAAGGCATGTAACACATAAAAAAAACCTGATGCCTGAGAACTAGGCTGCTCATCCCCAATCTCACCAGCAGCAAGCTTTGCCTTCCTGTCCACTACTTCCAACAAATCTGATGTAACAAAAGCAATATATTATTTTCATAGGATTGATGTGAAATAACATATGCTTGAATTAGTTAAGATGCATGTATATATAGTATATCACCAAAATATTGGCTTGCAACATCACCACTTTAGGCCTCGTCTTCAGTCAAATGATAGCCAATTAAGAGAACTATTTCTTCTTTCTAGAACATAATACTATATCTTCTTTGTGGGCATTAAATCCACCTCCCCCTCCCCCACGCCAACTCCCTCTAGCACACAAGAACACAGGTATAGTAGGGCTGAGCATGGATGTGCGTTTTACTGTCCAGTGCCGAAGATCCTTTCTGAACCATATTGTAAATGGAAGCACCAAATTGTTTTAATATCGTTCCAGCAAGTAAGTCTGTAATGTTGTTTCCTAAAAGTTATGGTACGGACGTACGGTACTCTTTAGTAATAACAATATCAGAATTGTACCAGAACGGCATTCCGTTCTGTATCATCCCAAAGTATCTCAAAGAATTGAGTATATTAAAATATTAAAAATTAAAATAGTGCATACATACAATCAACACACATGTTTCTTTGTTCCGCAAAGATAAGACTTCTATTCCATTTTGGTCTCTCACAAGTTAACTTTCATTTCTAGAATTCCAAGATATGAGTATATGACTGGTTCCTTATCCAAGAAAAAGTGAGAAATGTATATGAGTCAATTATATCCAACTAACTAACAGCTTTTTCTAAACTTAAAAAAAGAACTAATTATAACTAATCTGTCTGCAATTCAAAAAGGATGAAATAGATGAATGCAGTCATGCACACACAATTACCTCAAGTAATCCAAAAGTTAATTATTCTTAAAACTCCAGAAATAATATAATATACTCTCTGCCCAAAAACGAATTCAGAAAGGTACAACTATTGAAAATCATCAACTGTTTTTTTTAAAGTTATTTTTTCGTTTAACTAAATTTGAAACACTCAACTTAGACATTTTATGAAATATAAAAACATTAAATATGATGAAAAATAGAATCTTTTCTTCAATTTGTTATTTTTTAGTAATTTTTTTTAGAAACATGACACTTTTCAAGGGATGGAGCCTGGTGGGAGTAAAGAAACTATCATTACTAAAAAAAATCTTTGTGACTTGATAAATCTTAATAAATTAGTCCACCATCCCTGAAAGAACTTTACTTTTGCATGCTACATGTACCCCAAAATTTGTACCCTATTTGTACACCAAAGATATGCACCAATATTTTGATGGTTCACACTGACACAAAGTGTTGGTGCTTTAACAAAAATTTACACTGACACAAAGTGTTGGTGCATTAACAAAAATTAGAATTACACCAACACAAAATGTTGGTGCATCCCTGCGGTGTACAAAATGGGGTACAAATTCTTGGGGTACAAATAGCATAATCCTTTCTCTTTTCATGGAGTTTAGAAAGTGAAGTTTTTATGTTAAGCTTTCCATTTTACTCTTCAATTTTATTTTAACTTTTACTCTTTTTTAATGGGAGGGTAGAATCTGCTTTTTAAACTCATTTCTCAACCAACTATTGAAAGGTGTATTGTGGAACGGCCTAAAACGAGCCAAAAAATGAATTTTTTTGTAGGAGTTGAGGGAGTGCTTTTAAAAGAATACCATCATGAACCATGCTGAAAGTTGGTAAAGAAACGGCATGTCCCCTTCCATGTCAGCCTTGGTTTGCAGTCATGAAGTGTTATTTTATTACTAACACAAAAACTCATTATGTTTGTCACCAAGCGGACAATAAAGGCAAGAAAAAAAACACAAAAACAAAAACAAAATATTGGATAACTAATTCCATCTCTTTTTCTAGCCAGAACTAATTCAATTTCTATGTCAAGGAAAAACACAATGTGTGGCACCACATGATCTACCCCTTAACTAATGGCAAATTGTATCGTACATCCGGATGTAACTAGTTTTATGTACATCCAATGAGTATTGTATAACTTGTAAATGTACATACACTAATTTTATGATGTGCACGCTCTGGAGTACGTATAAAATGGGCAATATTCTACAATTTCATTTTCAAAATTTCAATTTTGTTCTTTTATTGATTGGAAGTGTTATTAGCAAAAAAATGAAAATTTCTTTTAAGTTTTAACAACAAAATGAGCATTATACAATTATTAAATGTGCATGCATCAATCTAATAATGTGCATGCTCTAAATATACAATAACAACCCAATAAAATCCCCCTAAAGTAGGGTCTAGAGAGGGTATGTGTATGCAAACTTCACCCCTACTCAAAAGTTTGTTTCTAAGAACCCCACCCCCCCCCCTATCTGCGCTTAAGCAACATAGAAAGAGCACAACAAAGAAGCAAAGAGAAAATGAAGGGTAAAGAAAAACGCAAAGAGACTAAAAGCACATAAACCACCGCTCGCAACTAGAGCTCAAGCATAGAAAGCACACACGACAAGAGCAAGAACATACTACCAAGGCCTAAACGACTACTCAACTACCATAGTCTTAGATCTCCAAACGCTCATATCTAAGGTCATATCCTCGGTAAGGGCCAAAAGTATTAGGTCATGTCTAATCATACATCTCTGTTAAGAAATGTATAGTAATTCACATGCATCTCAAGTTGTTGACAATTACTTGACATTGAAATGTTTCAGGACTTCTCATTTAAGAGAAGTAACAGAACAATTTCAATTAAAACACACACATTTCTACGGAATGTGTGATGGGAAATAAGAATATTCACATTGCAAACAGTGAATGGAGAGGAGCGGTTCTGCAAGAATCGTACCTTCTGCTGCTTTGAGCCAAGACGTCATGACTAGAAAAGCTTGAAATTAGCAGACCCTACAAATCACTAACCATAAATTGAGGGGCGAACAATTTCTGCAGCGGAAGATAAATACTACGGGGTATCTCAGAGATCGTTGTTGATCAGGGGATAGATTGAAACGAGTTTACGATAATCACAATACGAAATGATAAAAAATATCGAAGAAAGTTCGAAGATCCATCAGGATAGTGGCTTAAGTTTCGCTGTCTCCATCGTTAGTTACGCTCTGATCGTCTATTGAAATGGCGAATTGATGAGGGAGAAACCAATAGTGGCTCTCGCGGTCACATATTTAAGTGAAACTAGTATTTTGACCCGTGCGGGTCGAAAGAAATTTATGTCGATTCTGAATTATTTAAATGAATTTTTTTTTTGGAATAAAGAAAAATATATTGCTCACATGATTTTTAATACTACAAATGAAAAAGGCTAAAGTAAAATAAATAATATTTTAGGAATATAATGTAGAGTTAACAATGTTTATTTTAATACCAAATTTTCTGAAAGACTTCAAGGTATACAACATTTTTGGTATGGTCGCAAGGGTTTCCATTGTCATCTAGAACTAATATTTTTAATCTTGTCTTCGTCTTCACTCGTGAAACAGCAACATATAGTTGACCATGTGTGAACACTGACTTGGTTAAAACTAATCCCACAAATGACAATGTTTGACCTTGACTTTTGTTGATAGTCATAGCAAAACATAAGGCGATCGAGAATTGTCTTCTTTGGAACTTCAAGGGTAGCCCTGGATCAGATGGTACCAAATTCATTCTATGGATGTAAACTTTTTCCGCGACTCGATTTTCTGAAACCACAATTGCACCGGCAAAATTATTTCGCAACTTTTAAACGATTAATCTTGTCTCATCACACAATCCAGATGTTTTGTTAATGTTCCTCAATAGCATAATCGGTTCCCCTGTTTTCAAGACTATTTTGTGGTTTGGGAATCCCGAACATTTGATTTTGTTCAAAAACTCAACTGTTATCCAATCACCATCAACACCTACATCTGCTTCCGCTTGGCACGAAGAATTAGAACCCAAGTACTCCTTCTCATCACCAGAAATGAGGGACAGAACAAATTCATTTATCATTTCAACTATTTCGAGAGTTGGTGCCAATATTGCTATATACTCAAAAAAAAGAATAATTTTTCATATTCTCTAATATATTCAAATAAGTGAAGTCCACTATCCTCTCCATAGGAGAACCTGTATCAAGAATTAAGAATTCAAGCGGAATCTCAACATCACCAATCTCATCCATCACCTGACCTAGCTTTCCATCACCCATTTTGATTAGAGTAATTTACCTAAATAGAACTAAAACATAATGACTTTTCCAATATAGGACTATATGTTTTTATTTCTCAATATAAGACTTTTGGTCATTATCAAGTAGTCATTATTCAAGTAAATGTCCATTATTACTCGACATTATTCCTCCCACAAGGTCATTATTAAGTCCTATTTAGGGAATAAAAAAAGTTTAATCCTACATTAGGAAAGTCATTATGTTTTAGTCCTATTTAGTGCAAATTTCACTTTTGATTATCCAATCAGAAAAAGTTTGTGTCCCTATCTGTGCAAGAAGACGTGGATGAATACAGGCTCATATTGTTGGTCAACGTAAAAACTTTACACTTCGACCACAAATGTGAGGAATTGATCGTAGCACCTCTGGGTAAAACCAGAAGGATTTGTCGAAAGTCACCTCCGAGTATATATATATTCATTGAAAGTATTATCATAAATGAAATGAAAAAATAAAAAATTAAAACAATATTCTAATGAAAAATAAATATCTCTCTTTCTAAATTAAATTATTCAATGATAATAAAATCATAAATAATGTTAGTGTAATATAATAAGTCCTAACGATATGTTTTGTTTTAATCATTTGTATTTTATAATATAATAAAAATAGGTTTAAATATGTTTTTATACCCTATAAAATAAGAAATTTTTGTTTTTAGTCCCTGTAAAATATTTTT